CCGTTGCACATACAACGACCGCCAATGCTGATATCTTTGATCGAATAAAAGTACTGTAATGCAAATAAACTTCTTTAAATCAAATTATAAAAGAAATAGCGATGGAAAATATTGATTACAAACAAAGACTTTTAGAATTTCCTTTGTATCGTTAATTAAAAATATATTTCAATGACAAGTATTATAGATATTAATTATTTATCATATAGAATCAAATATCATTGAGAAAATGAAAGCAAATTTAATGTCAACGTATAACTTACTCTTCTGGTAACGGTAGGATCTTGACGAACGACAGACATGAGATGCCCCAATAAGTTCTTCGTCCTGAGAAAGCGGAAACGAACATTGGTTGCCCGCGTCCATTCTTGCAATAAAGTCGAATTGAAATAATGCTTCGCTGAGGGTCGATTATTTAAGATCGAGATCGGAATCTCGCCACCCTCAAGAGGGACGACTTTTGAATATTCAGTTGTGCAGATTACGCTGTCATCTCGAGTAATCGGTTTGTGACTGTCCACTCCAAAATAGGTCAGACAATCGCTGGCGGAATCCGAAAAGTATTGCCAGGGTGACCAAGTCTTGCCATAATCTTTCGACTTCTCCAGGACCCAGAGTCCTGGCCGAGGTGAATTACCCATTCGTATGTAAACGTAAGCTACGTGAAATTCCTGAAAAAAATCTGTTTCAAATTTTCCCTTCTATTTTCTCGGCCTTTATTCGTTTCTGGCAAACATTTTTATCCATTTTTCTCTTTGCTTTTCCAGAAATCTTTTTGTCTCAGTAATTATTATGTACATTATTTTACGGAGGAATCCATATTATTGCTTTATTTATAGAAATTTATAGCTTTCGATTTTAATTTCATACGAATACGTTCTTGCTATTTCAGATAAAATAATGTGAACCAAGGTTAAAAACCGAGGACTAAATGCCAGATGTGTGCCATACAGGGTTCGATACTTTAAAAGAGAACAATTACCGAAATTTCAAGCATAAGGCTGAAAGAAAAAGCGAGATAGAAAGAGAGATAGATAGAGACAAAGATTTATCCTCTTTTTTAGGATAATAGAGCTAAGAAATTTGAACTATAATAAATCTCGAGCAAAAATAAACATATCAGGATTAAAGAGAGAAAAAAGAGATGAGACATTTTAAAAAGCGTTACAATTATTAAAGAGAGAGAAAGAAAAATAGGAATGTTCTAACAAATGGTGTAAATGAGCCTTTCTAAGAAGATGATTAGCGAGGAAGCGATAGCAGGGAGCCTTTGAGTATGCAAAGATAAACACTTCTGATAACAACTAGTTACACTAATAGAATTATATGAATAGATCGATATTCAAATAGTTTCAATACAAACGTATCATCGGATTAATTAGATATTAATTTAATAAAAACTAAGATATTCGTAAAAAATTTTTGGAAATATATGGCGCCGCCATATATTTTATAATTTTCGATGATAAAAATAATTAATATCATTGATAATAATTCCATTTTCGTTCATCTTCGAAACTTTAACACTTTTCATTATTCTCCGGAAGTAAACCAATGATAAATCTTCCCACTTGCAGGAAAACGCCTACTTGTGCGATAGAATGTTTATGTCGCCGATAAAAGAATTGCGCATCATTATTTCCTGTTACTTCTGAATCAGACGTTACATGCTCCAAAAACTTTCGTTAATAATCTATATATTTGATTTATCTTAATGACTCACCTGTCCCAGATTGATCGTCAGATTGACCTCATTGTATTTCATCCCCCTGGATAAAGGTGGTGATTGCCACCACGTTTCCATACCATCGACCGCATATTCGGGCGGGTGACTTTTTTCAGGATTTTCAGGATCACAATAATCGCATACCTAGAGAAAATAATATTTGTCGTTATATTTAAAAGACAAAAGAATTAATTAATTAATGGAATCTAATTTAGGAGATTTAGTTTTTATATGTAAGAAATGAACAAAATAAGAATTTTTATGAGAAAAAACTCAACCCACATAATTTTTTTTTTTTTACTTTTGTCACACGTTTACTCCAATTGCTTACATTAAAATTTTAAGAAAAAAATTTTTAATTGCGAATTTTAATTGCGAATATATATATAACAGGAAATTTAGATAGTTAAAAGATAAGTATGTAAAGGAAGATCTCTTTTTCTAGAATCTGTATATGACACAGAAAGCTTCTTAATTTCGGATGGGTGAACGATCGAGTGTTATCGAGAGGTCATTCATATCTTCCGTTTTATCAAACTCCTCGCTTCTAGTTCACTTCGGTTTCATCTTCTTTTACCCACATAGATAGGTATACAATGAAAAACGATGTCAAACTGATGAACGCCTCGTGTTCTTAAGTATCAATGAACTCGATAGATACTGATCAATAGTGTAATCCAATTAAAATATAAATATACAGACAATTATAGAAACAGTTTCGACAATTAGAATGAAATTTTCAGATTTTACAATATTTTTACATCAAAAAAATAAATGTGAATATTAAAATTATTTTAATATTTTTAATAAATATATTATATATTGCGAAATTCATCTGTATGTGAGTGATTTCTACTGTCGATGATGAAGCATCATGTAGGAAACGCGATCCTGCGAGTCTAGCGCATTCTTCAAACACAATCATAGACTGTGCGAACTGGTTTTTAGCTGGATCTTATAGAAGAGCTTTGTAATCGTCTTTTGTTCTGATTCGTCGACAAAATATTTAATATATAGCGGAGAATATTAATTTTTAGAATAGCCAAGATTGCCTCTGGATAGTCACGCTGGAGATTTACAAACGTATCACAAAAATACATAGAAATTTATTTTATTTTATTTATTTGATAATTTATTCATTATTATTTTAACGGAATTAAATTGTTAATTAGAAATTTTGTAGAAATTTTTAAATTTTATCTCAAAAAACATTAAAAATATAATATAGCGTGAAATATACATATATAAATTTATTAACACAATGTGTGAGTAAGCTTTATGTATAATAAAAAAGATACGCGAAAAAATCTCATCAATTTCTTCAATAAACTCCTTTATGCCGCCGCTCGATTGATGAAAACTAATCAATGGTTTCATTCATCTCTCCCGATTCTTTATCATAACACCTTATCGTAATTCTCAGATAAAAAGATAGAAAAAGTGCGAGATGATATATAACTATAAATGTTTACATAAAATATTACATTTATTTTGACGATATATGCGAATAGTTATTAATATGAATAAAGATAGGATAAAGAAGATAAAAAAAGGAAAATTGAGTAATCGAACCGATGGCTCAGCACTGATAAACTCTTGGACTCGTGGGACCTAATGATAATAGATAAAATTCGGTGCGAATACTGAAGATGAAAACATCAAATTCTTTGGCATGCTAGAGTTCGTTAAATCAATTTTAATCACATTCACGTGATATTTATTCAACAGATTGTTATATATCAAAAAAAAATATTAGAGTTGCGAAAAAACATAATTTTTTTCTATTCTATAAATTATTTCTATATCTACATAATTTATATATAAAAATATCTAAACACAAAAAATTTATTTAGCATTTAGTATAAATTTATAATATTTTGTAGTTTCAGTCAAAAAGTTACAAGAGTTTTCCTAACTATTAATTTAATTTTGAAAGAAAATTTGATAAATTAGAATTATATCTAATTGATAAACATTATATTACACATTGTATTACAAACATATCAAGCATTATCCATTTCTTTTACAATATATTTATCGCTAATATTTACCTGGCCTTGAATCAAATTGATATCTTCATCTTGATCGGCGTTCGCGCCGACGAGTTTGCAGTAAAGTTCGGGACCGGTGGTGTCGACGCCGCACGTAGCCGAAGCTACGATCTCTTTGCCTTCAGCCAAATTGAAATACGGAGGCGTCAGGATTTCGCTCCTGGACAGCCGGATGATTAGCAGAAGACCGGCGAAGATTACCGGTAACTGCATCCTGCCAGCAGCAGAAAATCCGACACCTTCTCAAGTTCTTTCAAGGAACTATTCCACTCTTTTTTTTTCTTCACTTTCGTCTTCCCTCCACGCTCTTCGCCTCGCTCCCTTCCTCTCTCTCTCTTTCTCTCTCGTGAGAAAGACGATGATGCCTGGACGCTTTCTTGGTGTCGACTGTCCGGACCACAGTTTGTACAGTGCCGCCGACTTGCCAGATGAGAAGAACTCGGTGGGGGTGGAACAGATCAGTGATCTTCAAGTCGCAGCTTGAATCCAAGTTCAGGCACCCTGAGTTTATGTACCATCTTCAACTGAAGTTGTCAGATTTTTTCGCAAGTCTATTAAATATGTTTGTAATAAAGATAAAAAATTAAGTAGGGAAAAATTATAAATTCTAAATTTTAGCATAATTGCCTTTTTACATATCTTGCTTTAGATATTTCTGTGTATCTCGTAGACATCACGAATTATGGATATTTTCGCATATTCCTAATTAAAATTTTCCTGAGTATATATTAATAATTTGTTGATAATAAGATGTTATTATAATTTTTTCTCATAAAAACAATATGATTATAGAATAGAACTTTGAAGATCACTGATTTAGAAGGGTCGAAACCACATGGCATCCTTCACGCGCGAGAATAAAATCTTGTTTATAGTTTTCTTGAGCTGCATAATCTTACATTTCAGGACAGTCTGGTGGATTCCATCGTCTCATTCGAATTAAATATATATAAATTTTTATATTAATATTTTACATTACATTTAACCATGAAACATATTTAAGATAAAATACAATTATGCTTTTTTAATCTTTTTGTTTTTAGGATATGTAACGTGAGGAAAATAAATCAATGTAGGACAAATAATTTTTATATTTTATTGGCAGAAATAAAATATAGTATACCTTTTATGATAATGCTCTCAACAATATATTAGGTTCCATTCAATTTCATGCAAAAATAATTTCTTTTTACTACACCTAATATATAGCATAAGTCGTCAATTTCATAGCATGCGGTTACGACTAGATGTATAATTCTCCTATTATTCATTTAATCCTGTTTCAACGAACGGCTTCTGTAATAAAGGGCGGAGAACATGATACTAGAACTCAGTAGGACTGATATGATAAAGTTTCCCAATAGTAATATATCGGCAGAATCCATCCATATTGTGAATACTCTCGCTAAAACATAATTATTTAATTCCATCGTTTCCATCGTTTTACATATGCAAAATTGAAAACTTACTCAAGTTAGTAAAGGCGGATATAAACCAAGTGAGAAGCGATACTGATTCTGCGTTTTTAGCTCGAAGTATGGCTAGTAATTGGACGACTTTACTGGAAGCTGAGATCGGTGTACACATTGGCTAAAAATTCAAGTATATCACATAAAAAATGTTTCAAAGCAATGGAAGAATTTGCAATACTCAGCACTACCTACCGCTAAAAGTGTAAGTATAACTTTTGGAACAATTCCCAGCAGCAAACAGCTGCTTAACGCAAAATATATCATGGTACATAAGAAAGACCACATATTGATCCTGCTCAAATATTTCAATACAAAGAATATCAGTATATATTCCTGGACTAATATTATTGGATATTCCAAGTAAGACAGCAACGAATATCCATTTGTATAATTATAACTAGTCATTACAGTGTAACTGAAAAATAAATAATAAGTTATTTGTAAAAGAAGTAATTGTGAAAACTTTCGCAAAAACGAAACTTTCGCAAAGCTTTCACAATTATTTCTTTAAATAATCCGGTGAAATATAATCTTGTAGATTATTACCTTGTTAATTCTAAAAGTAATCCTACCATCGACATTTCATCAGCTGATTTCACAGAAACTAATTTTAATATCTGTGGAATTTTCAATACGAAACACATGCCTATCGTTATCAGGCTCAATAAATCCGCAAATTGTTGCAATAGCGACATTTTCTTGCTTTTTAATTGTCTCTATACATATATGAATAAGTTTTAATATAAAAATAATACTATAGTAGTTTTTAATTTACATACCGCTCATCAGCAACTCATAATTTTATTTTATTTCCTAATCTTTTTATGAACAAGTCAATAATCGTGATGCAATCAGAATACATTTAGTTCCCATCAAGCTTTCCCCAAAGTATCACGTTTCATAAAACGTACATATGCCAGAAAGATTCTGAAACTGTCACTTCATTATATTTGACTGAATAAGAATTGCTTGCGCTATCAAAAGAGCGGATAACGAAAATAGATCACTAACAATTATAAATAAAAATATCTTCTCTTAGCCACCGGTATTTACGTCAATACTTGGCCGCAGTTGCGGACATCGCGATCAAGCGATCAGCTGATCCCGTTGGCGCGGAATTTGTACGTTATCTTTCGATTCGGGAACAAGTGAAAGCAGGAACACTCAAAATTGATTTTCAATTACTGGTGGCACAATATTAAAATAAAATTTTTTTTTTAATAAAATGTGGGAAAGATCTATCAATTAAGTTAATGTCACCTCTTATCTGATTATATTCTCTTATCACCTACTTGATTCTAATTTTCAAAAATTTAAATTTTTGCGGTTTTTAAAAACTCACGATAATAAACAGCAGACAACTTTATCGATAAAGTCGCATATTGTATTAACGATTGTCGATATCTCGCGCGAACAAAAAATTCAAATTCTTAAAAATCGATAAACCATCAAGAGACTATATATAAAATCAAATAAGAAATGAAAGATTCTAACTAAAATTTTAAGAATTGCGATTTTAAGAATTTTGAGGTAAATGTTTAAATTTCAAATTTAAATATCGACAGAATGTGAAGTGAAAAAAATACATAAATCAAAACTGCGAGCGTTGGAATTTCCAAATTTTTATTTATCCTCTCAAATTGTCTACATACACAAGCCTAAATTTGCCTCACGTAATCATAAACGTGAATTCGAAATGAAATATAATGAACACGTAACATAGTGTCATAACGTTCAGCATCAACGTACATGAGTACAATCGGTGCAACTTCACGAGTTCACGTGCGAAGGCATTCATGACAATGATGACGTAGTTCGTAGTACTACATGCAAATCGCGTGCGGCGAGGTTGGCAGCGCCGATTGGCTAGGCGTGACGCTAGGCGCGGAACGCGACGAACCGGACCGAGCCGAACATGGTGCGAGGCGAAACGTGAGGCAGGAGGCTGCTCCGCGTTGTCTTACAGATATCGATTGGGTCCCGGCGTGGGCACAGCGCGCGTCATGCGGCGATCATGAACGGCGTGCCCCCGCGCGACGACGACGACGACGAGGCCTGGATCGCGATTATCGCGAGTGCGCCGCGGCCGATTTAGCGCGAGGGGTAAGCCGTCGCGGCGTCGTTCGTCCATTCGCCTCTCCCGCGTCCAGCAGCTCCAACTCCCGAGCACGAACGTCCCCGGTATCCGTAACGTTTTCCCAAAACGTGCGTACAAGCCAACCTCGGCTCCGTCAACCTCTCCTCCTTGCCGGGCGCTGCTCCAAACTGTCCTTTGGCCGATTTGTCATTGTGCATTTATCGTCGATTCGGAGCACCTTGCTTCTCTCCGGAGAAGTTCTGTTTCCCTGTCATCGACAAGATTCGCGAAAAAAGCTGTATTTAGCATTAAACGCGTGATGAGATTCGATACTCGTCGTAGTTGCTGAACTGATAGACTTGGTTAGCTATCGAGTGACATCGTGGGAAAATCTTTTGTAATTCATCGAGAAAAAATTCCAATCTATATTCTTTTTCTCCCGTTTCTTTTTCGGAAGATTCGTCTACTCGTGAATAATTTTAGGATGAATTAGCCTTGAGCTCTAAAGTCTTTGATCATAAGTAAAATGAATGAAAGAATTGATCTTCATGATTCATATATCTGTAGTTATGACACTCTAAAGATATCATGACTCATCCTTCCTATGTGTATGTTGTTCTATATGGAATTTACATAGATTATGCTATCACATTTCTGTTTTAGGATTATCAACTGCATCACTTTAGAATTTATCATTGCAGTTTCTCATAATGGACCATGCGCAGAGTACAAGCAAACGTACGAATATAGAGTTTGTAAGGCAATCATATATTGCCTGTAATACTTTTTCTCAGGTTCGATATCTAGCATTGATCTAAAAATGTTTAAAAAGAAAATGTGATTTGAACACTAACAGTCATGCTATTAAATTTTAGGGGGTGTCATGGAAATATCAAAAATTCTGGCTACTATAGACTTTTCAGTGCACAGGTGAAGCAAACGAAATTTGAGATGGACTCCCCGCCATCATGTTCGCTGAGCGCTGGGCCTCTCAGTGATCTTGGTAGCAGTGGCTTGGGGGGTTCGATATCTAGCGATTCTGTTAGAGCACATCTTGCGATGGAGGTAGGACGATTATATTTCTTCGAGTTAAAGATATCTTTTCACACAATGGCTATATCGGAGAAGAGAGTGCTGTTTGTTATCATTCTACTATCATTTATTAGATATAAAACGAAGAAGGACTGATACTATAGCGCTGACAGTACATTCTCCAAATGCAACCATATACCACTCTTAATCTCTGAAACAAAATCTCTTTTAGATGCAAGAGAGCGACATAGAGAGCAAGTCCCTATCGCAAGATTCTTTTGATTATTCGGACGGCATGTGCGGCGAGAATTTCAACACCCTGAAAAAGGGCCCAGGCTGGGGCGATGCAGACGGCAAATTGGAGGTCGAGGTGGTCGACGTGGCGATCAAGCCACCGCCAGAATTTCAGGATAGTCCATCGCCCCCAGACTCGGAATCTTCGTCGGTGCCGATTTTAAATTACGCGCGACTAATGAGACGCAGAACGCCACGATGGATCGACGACTATGCCGAGAATCTGATACAATCGATGGTAGAAGAAGCATTAGCAATTTCTTGCCGCATCTCTTGGCCGGAAGGAAGAATCGCGCCTGTTACGAATCCGGTTTCAGTGGTGATCCGATCCCAACAGATCAATCCTAAACGCATGTGGGATCTAATGACACCACCAGTATGTCAGGGCGCTGCTACCATCACTATTACCCCATACAATACGCTGAACCGGCCAAACTCACGCTGCTCGCTGGCCTCCTCGCGATTGTCCAGCTCACACAACTCTATCAACACTACTGGGCTTGGTCACAAAGCTGATGACAGCAGCTTCATTACATCCGCGATGTCGCACGATGTATTGACCACAAGTGAAATTAGCGACATGTATAATGTACCCTTTGATTCAGACATTTACACAGTGCCGATCGATGTGGTGCGACCGTTGCATGACTTGCGAACGCCACAGCGGCCTAAACGGCACCGGCATCATCGCAAAAGACGGCGGAACGTTTCTGCGAGTTCGCAGAGCGAGCTGGAGGCACACATCCAACAGGCGCGTCATTATTGTGGCAAATCCCGTGCCATCACGCATGTTATCAAATCACAGCGTTTGTTGGCTGATGTGTGCTGTAATGAGGGCAATCCCGTTGTCAGCGGTGGTGGTGGCGGTGGTAGTGGTGGCGGCGGTGGCGGTAGTGGTGGTGGCGGTGGTGGTAGTAGTGGTGGTGGTGGTGGTGGTGGTGGTGGTGTTAGCAGCAGTAGCAATAGCGGTGCAGGCGGAGGTAGTGGTAGTGGCGGTAAACGACACAGCGTGCCGGGTACTTCTGGTCGTCACAGCGTCAGACCATCGAACGGACATGCACATAACATTGGTGAACCGATCCACATGACTTTGCACGAGGTGCGACAGTATCTACAGACGTTGTACTCGAGCTCTAGCGATTCTAGCGAGAATAAGATCAAACGGGACAAGGCTCCTCTACTGGGCCATACACCAGTACATCTCGCCGCAACGCCTAAGGCCCTCAGTGTAAATAATAATAATAGGTAAGTATGATAATTTTTATGGATAAGATAACCAGTGAAAGAATGAATTTTTCGATAATGAATTTTTATTATACATTGTTTTGTTCCTATTATTTTTGATATAAATAACTTGAATTAGATATCAAAATGTTCTTGGCTACTGTCAAATTGGCTCTGTCATTAATCTAATAATATCTAATGCTGTCTAATAATAGGTATAACAATAATGCGCATACGGACTCGTCCACGGACACGCCGGTGTCTAATAAGAGCACTAGTAACGGCCTGATGATCCATCATCACAACAATAATAATAACAATCATAACAACAATAACTCTAATAATGTAAAGAAGCATAAGAGGAACGCATTCGTTGGCATCAGACACAAGAAAGCGCGCGACGAATCACATAAGGAGAAGAGTGAGTCCGAGCGAGAGAAGATGAAAAAGAGTCAGCGTAATTTCTCGTTAAATCTCAAGCAGACGCTCTGTAACATTTTCCGATTTCGACGACTAGGCTCTCCGGATCACTTTGTAGAGAAACGGAACAGCATCGTACAAGGAGAAATCGTTGAAGAGGAAGAGGGTGTCGATTCCGACCAGCATACAAACAACAATAACACCGCTCCATCTGAGGTAGAGCCATCCGCGCAGAAGCTGCCATTCTTCAAGCGCGCTTTGCCACCTCTGCCCAAGAGTAATAGTCAAATAGGGGTAGAGCAAGCGGAAGAGGCCCTTACAGCAATGGCACCTAAATGTGAGTCTCCGAGCTCGGTTCAGCCGCAAGTTCCACCGCCTATCGTGCGACCAGAAGAAGATGCTGCTGAGGACACAAGTATGGATTTTGCAGCCAGTATCGAGAAAGTGAAGGATGTATGTAAATTTTATTTTTCTTTTCGCTGATTCTTGATATTAGGAGAAATTGCAGAGAATATTCTGTGTATTTTTATTTTCTGAAACAGTATGGATGGTATTGGGGACCTATATCTGGTGAAGCGGCGGAGAAGATATTATCTAATGAACCGGACGGCTCATTTATTGTGCGAGACAGTAGTGATGATCATTACATTTTTTCCTTGTCATTTAGACTCAACAGTTGTGTGCGACATGTAAGAATAGAACATGATCAGGGTAAGTTTTATTATCTTCACACTATAAGTAAGAGTTTAATGCCTATTACGGTCAAAGCTGGATTTTAGATGTTTTTAAATAATTTCTATGTGAATTTTTATATTATTAGGTGTACAACTTTGCTTCCGCCGTTTTTTTTCCGAAATTCGCTTTATTATAAAAAACTGGTTATACATTTATGATTCAAAGTATTGTCCATCGCTGGCCACTACTTCCTCCCATCTTTCGGGTAGCGTACGAATCCCGCGTCGAAAAAACTGGTCATCTTTTGAGACTATCCACGAATCGATCCAATTTTTTACTTCTTCATAAGATCGG